ATAGAATAGAATAGAATAGAATAGAATAGAATAGAATAGAATAGAATTCTTTATTGGCCAAGTGTGATTGGACACACAAGGGATTTGTCTTTGGTGCATATGCTCTCAGTGTACATAAAAATACATTCATCAAGAATCAAAAGATACAACACTTAGTGTTAGTCATAGGATACTAAATAAGCAATCAAATTATACTAGGAAACTTAAATAAAACAATATAAATCGTAAAGATACAAGCAACAAGTTTATAGTCATAATTGGGGGGAGGGAGGGAGGGGAGAGATTGAGATTCCATATATTTATGGATAGTTTTGCATCTGCCTATGTAAATTATGCCAATAAATACTTTACATCAAATTGACCCCCAGAACAGATGCCACCAAATGGCATCTGGCCTGGCAAGCGCAAACTTACCTGCTGGAACAGAGGGTATTGATCAGCTGTTTCTTATATTCGTCCCCAGTCAGCTCACCTGAAAGGGGAATAGGTTAGATGTTGTTAGTTAGCAAAAGACATCAAGGAGGGAAAACTGAAGAGGAAAAAGCTTACCTGTCCCATATTCAAGGGTCTCTTTAGATGTAGCCAACACAGTAAGAATTGTAGGAAAGAGTTCCAAAGACTTGCCACTCAATAGGCTGCCTCCTTTAATGGCTTCAATGAACAACATAGCCAAGTCAGCCAAAGTAAGCCCCGGTAGCTTATGAGCCTGATGTATTAAAATATATATTATTTTTTAAAAATCTGATTATATATTAAGAGGTTTTAGACCAAATAAAGAAATGAGCTCTGAATTACATTATAACATCTATAAAAGTGTCACAGAAGTACCTCCTATACTCACAACCTGAAATATCATCTCCCAAAGTAAGAGGAATTATTATATACATTTTGTATATCATGTCAGCTATTAAGAAGCTGAGGATGTATCCAGCCTAACTAGCTCAATGTAGACACTATATGTGATCATGATCGCAAAATGCAAAGCTATGCATGCCACAACTTCCTAATTGCAGCCCTTCCCATCCTCAATGCCATTCAATTATGTTGGCTTCTTATTTTAAGAATTCCCTATGCCAACATGAAAATTGAATTCCCCCCGTCAACATGAAAAAGGATTCTGGGATTTAGCCCATAAACTGCATCTGGAGACTACCATCTTAGAGAAAGTTGCTTTTTAAAAAATTAACAACTGTGTAACAACGCAAGAAGGAAAAAGCAATCCTGGACAGTAATAAAGTATTCATTTTCAGACATCTATATAAACATACATAGCACCAGGCTGCAAAGGAAATGATTAGCATGTTGCTAACATATTGTCCAACTCAAAATAATATAAACTTTTTTAGACATAAAAAGTAATCATTTCCACTGTCACTCAGGGAAACCCCTGAGAATTATATTTGTATTTTTTACCTCTAACATAAGCAATCTTATTATCTCAGATGCAATTTCCACTTGCAGGTCACCGGACTCCACTAACTCGATACAGTGTTTGTAAATATTTAGTCTTCTGGAAACACCCTTCTGTTGAGAGCAAGGGGAACCTAAACAAACAAAAACCACAAAAGCAACAAAATACTGTTAATTTTGTACTGCTTAAACAGCGGAAAGTGGGATTTTGCAATCTGAAAGCTTGCATATTCCTTTATCAACACATAGGTGAATTTGCTTCCCCAATACTTCATTGATTAAAAAGATTCAACTGTTTATAAGCCATTAGTTGATGCAGTCTGTTCTAATAGTAGAACAGACTAATATCTGGGTTTCCTACCTTTTAATAATATTTTAAAAGGTAGGAAACCCAGTTATTAAAATGAAACAGAGAAGCAGGTTGTCCCCAGTATGGTCAAGAAACTGACATTATTTATATACTTGCTCAAAATACTAGCTTCGTATGGACAAGTAGCCATGTCATTGGGTCAGAGATCAATCCAGTAGTCCTTTGTAAGTACCTTTGAACATTCCTCTCAAAACAGCACCAATCCCCTTCTTCCTCAAAGCATGTTTCGTAATGAGGTCATTCAACTGTAGCAAAGAGACCAGAGTTGTCATTCTTTTGAATTTTTACATCCATCATTACCCCCAGTATTACTTTGAATAAAAACATGTATATTTATTGTCTTCTTAATGTAGTCTACAAATTATCACACGAGTAATCTTTGTGAGAGTGTGAAGATGTTGGAAAAAAGAATAGAGAATTTAGACATAAACAATCAAGTGACACAGTAGTCCATTGATAGCTTATTTCATAAATGGCAATTAGCCCAGTTGGCAAGAAACATTTTAATTTGTACAAAATATTTATGTTAATGTCTAATGAGCTTCATATGGTTCATGGTTTGATAAATATTCTATGAAAAGATCAGTTTTAATTTCAGTGGGACAAATACCGATATTGTTTTCATTTAAAAATCCCTATTTTTAACAACAACAAAAATATGGTTTTTAATTTTCGCAAATATCCTCAACATCTGTCAAATAATTTTGATTGTTTAGGGTTCTTGAGAGGCCTCCAAGGGCCCTCAGATCACACTTTAAGAAACTGCTTTAAAGAGAGTTTAGAAACTATAGTTCAGTACTATCTAGATTGCCACAGCTTGCCCAGCATGGGAATCAACAGGAAGAAGTTACTGAAAATAGAACAAACATGCTTTAAAAAAAAACATTTCAAGGTAAAAGCCATTCATGACTAATGGGAATACTTTGAGGGTGGGGGTGCTGCCTGTCAGATAAGCAATTGGGGCTGACCTCTTTTTCATCCAGGCTCTGCAGGCATGACTGGAGGTGCTCTGAGTTTCCCTCTGCTGCCAGAAGCAGGATTTTCTGGTCCATTTTGGCAGTGCAATGGAAGCTTCGGGGTCACTTACCAAATCTTCAAGAATAAGGGATATTTACTAAAATACAAAAACAGGTTCCTCCATTTGTTTTGCCTCCTAGGTCAAGGAAATGCTGTCATTTTAATGTATGCTGATTAGTGTACATTCAAAGTGACCATAAAGTTATTTTACTCTATTCTATTCTATTTCTAGAGAAGACCATAGTTGCCCCTCCGTGACCCCCTCCTATTTCCTCCCAAATGACCCCCATGGCCTCACCCCTATTGGCTGGTGCCCACATGACCTCTCATCACCCAATCAGCTCCCCCCATTGCCTAAGGTTCCTTTGAGCCGCCTCTCGCCCCAATGAGCTCCCCCCAAAGGGTTCCTCCACTGCCAACCCCCCCCCCCCCTGCCACCCCCAAATCTCCCCTTCCTCTCCGCTGCCCCCCTTGCAGGACCCTGCCCCAATTAGGGGGCGGTAGGGCGAGGGCTTTTCTTCCCCACCTTTCCTTTCTGCCCGCCCGCCCTATCGAGGCATTCCCGCCTTCCTCGCCAGCCTTTCCCAGGGTCGAATCTCCCGCCAGGAACTACACACAAGCCCCGCCCCCTAAAGCGCGGGGGGAGGGAAGGAGGGAGGGACTTTGGTTTCCCTAGGCAACCCATCCCTGCTTCGCCTTCCGTCACGTCTTGACGTTTCCCCCCGAAAGGCGGTCCCAAACAAAAGACCCGGATGGAGCTATGGCGCGCTTTTGCAAAAGTCCTATATAGTTTCGTAGGAAGCGGGTTCGAGTCCCCCCCTTCAGTAAGCGCGCGAGAGGTTTCTTCGTCAAATATCGAGGTTTTTTTTTTTAATCCAGCAGTATATTTTTAACAGTCTCTCGCCTGAGATCTTAAGAGGTTTGAGTCAAAGTTGCATCGCTTGCGGATTTGCTATTGCATTGATTTCTCCCTCTAGTGCAGGGGTCTCCAACCTTAGCAAATTTAAGACTTGTGGACTTCAACTCCCAGAATTCCTCAGCCAGCAAAGCTGAGGAATTCTGGGAGTTGAAGTCCACAAGTCTTAAAGTTGGTAAGGTTGGAGACCCCTGCTCTAGTGGATCATTGCACTGATCTCTCTCTCTGGTCTAGTGGACCATTGCCCTGATCTCTCTCTCTCTCTCTCTCTAGCCAAAGCTAAGGGAACCTCTCTCCAGCTTTGAGGGGTGCAAGGAAGGAGGAAACCCTTTTGTGGCATCACGAGAAGCATGCATGCATTCCCAGGCGTTGCATTTTTAACAAATGACAGTGTGGCCATCTGCGCCTCAAGCCTGGACGTTTTGCAACGATGGAAGGAGACTTTTTTCCTCCCTCTTCATCCAATATTGCACTTTTTCCTAAGGAGTGAAAGACTAAATGCATCGGCCACTGACCACCTGTCATGGTGCCTGAGAATCACCTGGGAAGGCAGGAGGAAGAACATTCCCCGGTCTGGACAACTATGGTGCAGATTTTTTGGAGAGCTGGCCATTTCCAACCTTTGGGACAAGCATGGCCTGGATGACTAAGAATTGCCATAGATTTAACATATAAAGAATGGTTGCTGGAACTGGGTGACATGATATCAGTGTTCCAATATCTTAGGGGTTGCTACAAAGAAGGAGTCAAGCTATTCTCCAAAGCAGCAAAAGATAGGATAAGAAGCAATGGATGGAAACTAATCAAGGAGAGAAGCAACCTAGAGCTAAGGAGAAATTTCCTGACAGACTAGAACAGGGGCCAACCTTTTGGACCTCAGGGACCACCAAACTCATAATTTTAAATCCCGCGGACCAGAGAACCTGGGAAAATCCCAAAAATAGTCTGCAGGAAAATTCCTCACCCCGTTTTCCTACCGATCGATCATTCTTTATTTGGGATCGCAGGATACCATCTCCAGCTCTGTTCTCGAGTGGAGAGAGAGAGAGACTTTTGGCTTCAGGGGAAGGAAAGCATCAGAAGTCTTTCTTTCTTTCTCTCCCCCAAACTCTGTCAGAAATGAGTCTTTGCTGGCGCAGCCTCTTGGAGCAGGAGGCCTTGCAGGGTCCCAAAGACTCATTTCCGGCGGAGTTTGGGGCAGAGAAAGAAAGACTTTTGTAGCATTCCTTGCATGCAGCCAAAAGCAGAAGAGGAAAGAAGCAGCCTGGTGGCCAGGCCAGGTGCGTAGGGTGACGGGCACGTTCCCCTCTCTGCCTTTCCCCCCCTCCCATCACTACCTTGTGTTGTTCGCAATGCAAGCGACACAAGCCTTCTGTTCCCACACAGTCTGGATTAATTGCTTTGGGGGGGGGGGGTCCTTTCTCTGCGGGTGACATTGTGGGTGACATTTGTGGGTGACATTTCTCTGCGGACCACCAAAATTTTCTCGCAGACCATCACTGGTTGGTGACCACTGGACTAGAACAATTAACCAGTGGAACAACTTGCCTCCAGAAGTTGTAAATGCTCCAACGTTGGAAGTTTTTAAGAAGAGATTGGATAACCATTTGTCTGAAGTAGTGTAGGTTATCCCGTCTAATTAGGGGGTTGGACTAGAAGACCTCCAAGGTCCCTTCCAACTCTGTTTATTCTAACCTTTAGCCATGCACTTTGGGATGAACACCCTTCAAAGGGTGTGGGAGTATGAATGGATTTTCAGAAAAATTGCAGATCACAGGAACCATTTGCACTACTCGGGTGACCCTGAGGACACACATAAACCAAAGAATACCAATGGCCAGCTGTCTGCAAGGAGTATAAATCCTTCCATTCCCCACCATCCTGTCAGAGCTGAAGAAGCTTCTTGGATGAGAAGTGAAACATCTTCAAAAACCAGAAAGTCCAGTTGCCTCTAGAAAAAGCACTTTTGGGAATTCCTATGAGAGAGAAAACTGAATCCAGGAATTCTGCACTAAACAGGATCAGAAGGGTGTTGCTATTGGATGGGAAATCTGTAGAGAAGTCAAAAGTTATTCTGGAAGAAGATAGGGCCAAACCACTTCCACACTGTTGCTAAGAGAACAGCATGACTAAGCCTATAAAAAATCATCAGCAGTCAAGTTCAATTTACAAGAAACCTTACTTTTATTCAGAAAATGGGGATTACAGTAATCCGTGTGGCCTTTTCTGCAAATGCACAGCTTCCTATGAAAACTTGAGCTGTTGGAAGGAGCCAATCAAGGAGAGAACCATAGTCCCCAATGGTTAGTACAACTTGGCCTTATTCCTTAAGGATGTCAACTTCTAGAGACTTGAGCTGCTGTTATTTGTCATTTTCTCAATTCCACTGTTTGGAGGAGTACATTTGTTTATAGAGGGTCAGCCCCCTGGAGTAGGCACAATAGACACAACTTTATATCAAATGTGCAAAAATAGAGAAGTAATCATGTTGCCTGTTTACAGTCAGTAAGTTGCATTCAATTGAGTCATAGTGGCTCAGTGGTTAGAATACAGTATTTCAGGCTAACTCTGCCGACTGCCAGCAGTTTGATTCTAACTGGTTCAAGGTTGGCTCAGCCTTCCATCTTTCCGAGGTTGGTAAAATGAGGACCCCAATTGTTGGGGGCAACAGACTGACTCTGCAAATTGCTTAGAGAGGGCTGTAAAAATACTATGAAGTCTTAAGTGCTATTGGTATTGCTATTAAAATCAATGCAGCAACTGGGTTCTTTATATGCCTGGTTTTGCCTACCAAAACAGATGAGATGGCCTATCATGCCCCTGTTGGAATCTGACTTGGAGGAGGAAGCTGAACAGCTGACAGGGAGTGGGAGTGTGGCCCCGTTGGCTGTGGAAGAAACTGGGGAAGGGCAAAGTCCGGCTGGGCAGAGTAGGGGAGAGGTAGAGCAAGGGAGAGGGAATTCAGAGGAAGATCCAGGCCCACCCCCTCTTCATCCTAGGGCACGCAGGGAGGAATGGAGAAGGGAGCAACGTGGGTTGAATGGCTTACGGGGGGATGAAAGTGCCCCGATTCCCTTCATTAGCTGCAGCTGGGAAAACAGTGTATAAAAGAGGAAGCTGCACATAGCAAGTTGTTGGAGCAAACGTGAAGTTATCTTGTATCATCGTGGTTTATCTGTGTAACTGGTGTCTTCCCAACTGTGTGAGTTTTGCCGTGCTTTCAAGTCTGAAATTCCTTCTCCTGTCCTGTCAAGCTAATTACTTCAGTTTGGTTTGTTTGGATTTTAAGTTACAGTTCGTGTGTACCTTGTTTTGCACTGAATTTTCTACAGTTAAAGACTGTTCCTGGGAGAGTTTTTCTCCAGCCGAAGGTAACCTGGACATTGGGGGCAAAGTTGGAGATAATAAAGGGACTCTTATTGCTTATTTGACTGTGTTGCCTTTGTGCCATGCCCCAGGTCATCACATGGCCTTTCTAAAGACGAAGATAAAAACTACATTGCCTTTTAGCATATATATTTTTCCAACTTCCTAATCTAGCAGCTCTGAGACTTCATTATGTTCCACCCAAGCATGACCCTGCTTAATATTTTTGGCTGGTGTGGTCTTTCTAGTGTCTCCTACTTCTCCCACCATTAGATGTTCCCATGAACAGATGGCATTGTTCTCCTTGATGTGCTGCCTTTAGAACATCATGTGCTGAGCTGTTTGCTACTTGGAAATGTGCTGCCTTAGTGGCTCACACACCACCAGGTGGAGGCTGCAAGGCTGATCCTGCATAGGTGACCTAATTATTGGCCTGAGCACTCTGTTGAAAAATACTGGTGGGCCATTTCAAGATCCTGCTTTCATATCGAGGTGGATAGACAGGCAGAAAGACATATTTGTAATCTTTCAGCCCTTCACACAGAGCCTCTGCAGACAATGTCAAATGAGGGCCAGACATCAATGCTTAAATACAGTATTGTGTTTGCTTAACGGCGGCCAAATAATGCCATTCATGAAAATTGTCAAAATGTGTGGCTGACCAATCAGAAGCTGTAGGGGAAAGAAAAGAGATCAAAGTGGCATTTGGCTGAACCCATATTGTGCCTTCTCCACACAAGTCCCACTGACAGT